CCCGCCCACCGCCCGCCCGCGAGCTCATGGAACACCCCACCAAGCACATTCCGTCCCGTGCACACGGGACGCTCACGGATACAGACCGCGTTCTGGGCCATAAAACAAGACTTAATAAGTTGAGGAGGGTTCAAGTCCCACGGATTATGTTCTTGGACCATAAGGAATTAAATTATAAATCAATAACAGAAAGATCCTTGGAAAACGCTCAAGTATTTGGAATCGAAATAACACACTTCTAAATGATCCATGAGGGGAAGGAAAGCAGAGAGGGGCCTCAGGAAGGACTCTCGCCAGAACGCGTGCGGGCGGGGGAGTGCCACGGAGGCAGTGCTGGGGCCAAGTCCACCGCCAGCGCGGCGGAGGGGGGAGCAAGGGGGAGCGAGGGGGCCTCGGTCCCCGATCCCAGCTCCCTCCTGAAGGAACAGAGCGGGGGAAATGCAAGTGAAAGCCTAAGAAAGCACCAGAAAGGCTATGAGACAGATGAAGTGGGAAACACAAAAACAATAGAAAAACTTAAAGAAAATAAAGCCAAGCCCGGCCGGCGTGGCTCAGGGGTTGAGTGTCGACCTATGAACCAGGAGGTCAGGGTTTGATTCCCGGTCGGGGCACAGGCCCGGGTTGCGGGCTCCATCCCCAGCGTGGGGCGTGCAGGAGGCCGCCGATCCACACTTCTCCCTCATCATGGATGTTTCTCTCTCCCGAACCAGGAGGTCAGGGTTCGATTCCCGGTCAGGGCACAGGCCCGGGTTGCGGGCTCCATCCCCAGTGTGGGGCGCGCAGGAGGCAGCCGGTCCATGATTCTCTCTCCTCATGGATGGTTCCTTCTCTCTCTCCCTCTCCTTTCCTCTCTGAAATCAATACAAATACATATATTCAAAGACTAAAAATAAATACGAAGACACACGGTCCCTTCAAAATATACGCGACGCCGACAACGGTGCTCTGAGAGGAGAGAGAAACGGGGCGCAGCTCCAGTGGGGCGGAGCCCCCCGCAATGGTTAACGGGACGTGCAGGCAGAAACCGAGCGAGGACAGAGGGGAGGAAAGCAGAGAGGGGCCTCAGGAAGGACTCTCGCCAGAACGCGTGCGGGCGGGGGAGTGCCACGGAGGCAGTGCTGGGGCCAAGTCCACCGCCAGCGCGGCGGAGGGGGGAGCGAGGGGGAGCGAGGGGGCCTCGGTCCCCGATCCCAGCTCCCTCCTGAAGGAACAGAGCGGGGGAAATGCAAGTGAAAGCCTAAGAAAGCACCAGAAAGGCTATGAGACAGATGAAGTGGGAAACACAAAAACAATAGAAAAACTTAAAGAAAATAAAGCCAAGCCCGGCCGGCGTGGCTCAGGGGTTGAGTGTCGACCTATGAACCAGGAGGTCAGGGTTTGATTCCCGGTCGGGGCACAGGCCCGGGTTGCGGGCTCCATCCCCAGCGTGGGGCGTGCAGGAGGCCGCCGATCCATGATTCTCTCTCATCGTGGATGTTTCTATCTTTCTCTCCCTCTCCCTTCCTCTCTGAAATTAAAGAAAAAAACAACATATTTAAAAAATAAATACATAAAAATAAAACCAAAACTTCACACACTGACAAACACACACTGACAGCCCTCGAATCCATCTGATCAGAAGAGGGACAGAGAGAGAGAGCAGACAGTGCCGGCCTCAGGAGCGAGGGGGCCATCGACCCGGTGGGGCAGGCGTTAAGGAGCCATGAGGGCAGAGTGTGAGCAACCTTATGCCCGTCGGTTGGATGGGTGCGAAGGAATAGCCACATTTCGTAAAAAACACCACCTAAGAAAGCTCACTCAGAAAGCAAGGGAGAACCCGAGCACACCCGCAGCTACCAAAGACTCGGTCGTGCGGGGGAAAAACTTCCCACGGAAAAAGCAGCAGCCCTGGCCGGTCGCCCAGTGGTTAGCGCGCCTGCCCGAGCACCGAAGGCTCTTGGGTTCGATTCCCGGTCAAGGGCACAGACCTGGGTTGCAGGTTCGATCCCCAGCCCCAGCCGGGGCATTGTGCAGGAGGCAACCAGTCCATGTGCCTCTCTTCACGGGGATGTTTCTCTCTCTCTCTCTCTCTCTCTCTCTCTCTCCTCTCTCTCTCTCCCTTCCAATGGAAAAAAATATCCTCAGATAAGGACTAAAAAACAAAAAACAACAACGAAAGAAACTTCCCCACAAAGAAAACTCCAGGCCTCGACGGCTTCACGGGTGGATCCTACCCACCATGTAAAGGAGGAGGAGGAGCAATGGTAGCAATTGCAGACAGACTCTTCCCAGCACTGGGAGCGAGGGACCCCCTGACAGCTCATTCTGTGGGGCCGGCATCACCCGGACTCCAGCACCAAAGGCAGGATGAGAGAAGGAAGCTGCAGACCTGGGCGCACACATTCCAAACACAACGCCAGCCAAGGGGGCCCAGCAGTGGGTGAGCGGGTGACCCGTCGGGACCAAGCGTGGCTTCTCCCAGGGACGCGGGGCTGGCGTAACGCTCAGACCATCCGGGCAACTCACCACCCACGTTCACAAACTGAAAAAGGGAAAGTCCCGTATGATCAGCTCGAGAGGCGCAGAAAGAGCCTTTGACAAAATTCAACAAGCGTTCCTGTCACACACACACACACACACACACACACACACACACACACACGAAAAGGCTCTCGGCGAATGAGGAGCTCCCTCACTCTAACACGCGTGGAAGTGCTCTCGCTGCGAACAGGGCCAGGGCGAGGGAGTCCCCCGGCACCCAGTGGAGGTGCTCGAGACCGCAGTGAGACGAGAAAAAGATGGTGCGGGTGGGCGTGACTGGCGACCCGCACAGCCAACCTCACGGGGCCTCCGGGCGGAGGAGCGGCGAGGACCAGGGTGAGCTCAGCAAGGCTTCTGCACGCACGCTGGTCTCGGACTGTTTCTACAAGATGGGCGTGGGCCACGGGACGGTGACCTTTAAAAACAAAACCACTTCCCAACAGTGTCCCCCCAAGAGGGATACCTGGCTAAAGGGTGTAAGGAGCTGCGCTTGGATTCGAATAAAACATCGGAGAGAGAGAGGGACCGACAGACCCGTGGGTTGGGAGGGTCAGTCAAGACTGCGGGGACGTCGGCCGTCCCTCCATTTAGTCTCTAGGTTCAGTGCAACCCCAGTCAGAGTCCCAGCAGCTCCCCACGACCGAGGCCACCATTCCCGTGAACGTGCGGGGGACCCAGCGCCGTCCAAACAACCCCGAGAGAGAAGAACGAAGCTGAGCTAGCGTCCTAAGAATCAGCACAGGATGAGGGTAACCAGAAAGAGACTGGTCTCGGTGTCAAGCGATTCCAGGAGAGCCAGAGGATAAAACAAAGGGCCCAGGGATACGCTCCCACATCCGCAGGGTGACCCCTTGTCCGGGGCGTCATGCGGGGACATGGGACGTCCACGGGCAACACTAGAGGTAGCAACGATCTGGAATCAGACCTCACCCTCTAGCCAAAGATGAACTCAAGATGGATCACAGGCCCACAGACGAGGCGAGGACGGGACACGCGGGAGACCGCCTTGGAGCACGTGCCGGGCCAAGATCGCCCAGACGCCAGGCCGAAAGCACAGCCCCCCGGGAAAGCAAGCTGGTGCGTTACGAGGCCTCAAACATGGCTATCGCTTGCTCTTTCAATGAAAATCTAAGAGAATGGAAATCTAAGAGAATTTCATCACGAGAATGGAAATCTAAGGCGCTGGGTGGAAGGAAATCTTTGCCAAGCAAACGGTTCACCAAGGCCTCTGACCCAGAAGATATAAAGTCCTCTCATAAAAGGGGGGAAACGAACAAGCATTGTACCAAAAAGCGCAGACACTTAATAATGAGAAAACAAACAACCGGGTTTTTTTAAAAAAAATGGGCCAAAGAGTAGAAGTGATACCTCATTAACAAGATAAAGGAACGGCAAGTGGCCATGTGAGAACTGCAGGGTGGGGGGCCCCCGGGTCACCGGTCACCGGGGAGGCAGGAACTAAGATCACAGGATGCCCGGCTCTCAGGACCCTGGCGCTTGCAAGCCCGGCACACCAGGGTCCGCGGGGGGTGGGGGCCCCACCTCGCCAGCAGAAATGTGAAACGAATCAGTTGGCAATGTCTCTTTTTCTTAAAACAGTTAAACATAAACCTCCCATGTGATCGAAGTCATTCTCCTTCTGAGCATTTACCCACGAGAAAAGGAAATGCTTGTCCTTGTAAAGACTTTCACATGAATGTAAATACCGCTTTGTTTTTCATCGTCGAAAACTGGAAACAGCCCAAATGTCCATCAACAGGGAATGGATAAACAAGCTGTGGTGTGTCCATACCATGGCAGCCAGAGGAATGCGGGCCGACGCACGCGAGGCACAAATGAGTCCCACAATAGTTATGCCGGGGAAAGAAGCCAAACAAGAGAGCGTATATACTGTACTTCCATTTATGGAAAACTCTATAGCGTGCAGGCTGACCAGGTCACAGGCGCTGGGGAATGGGGGGGAGGAAGGGTGGGGAGGGAAGGGAGAAGGGATGGTGGAGGCCCCGGGGCCCTTCGGGGGGGAGGGACGTGCTCACCCTCATGCTGTGGGGGAGAGGTGCGCGCGCTGGGGCTGTACGTCCAGGGGACAACACTAGAGCTGGTGTGAACAATTAAAAGGCAAAGGACCAACTGAGCAAATGTGCTGAGCAAATATGACCAGAGGGTCACGTCGTGAACACAGTGAATGCGCTTGGGAACCCACAGGGAACGTGAACACCCGGATAGGTTTGCCAGGGCGGCCACCACCAAGTGCCAGGACGGCGTCTTAAGCCAGAGACACTCACCGTCGGGTCCTGGCGGCCGGGGTAGGAGACCCGGGTGTCGCAGGGCTGGCTCCCGAGGCCTCTCCTGGGCCTGTGGCTGCGTCTCCATCCAGTGTCCCCACAGGGTGGTCCCCGTGTGTGTCTGTGTCCTCGTCTCCTCTTCGCAGAAGGACCCCAGACCTGTAAGATCAGAACCCGCCGTGACCCCATTTCGGCTTTAAAGATCCCAACTCCACGTACAGCCCCCTTCTGAGGTCCCGGGCTTAGGACTTCGGCAATGAGCTTGGAGGACACCATTCAGCTCATGGCATCTCCTCATTAGAGGGAAAACACGAGCAAAACACATGAACAGACGAGTCACAGGTTCAGAAAAACAAAAAAGGGCCAACACTTGTGAGCACATACGTGTCGCCGTGAAGGAGGTGCCGGGCTCACTTCCGGGTCTCTACAGGCTGCTCACCGGGGAGGACCATCGGCCCTGGTGTGCCAGGCCCTCCGGGGGCCAAGGTGCCTCGGGGAAGCCAGGCAGGTGTCTTCGGCCGGGTCCTGAGGGCCGGCCGGTCGCCGGGGCCTGGATTAGACAGGGATGGCACACACTCCGCAGTCAGCATGGCCGGGACTTGGACCCGTGGTGCTTGCAGGTGACCCGGCTCTGGGGGCGTGGCCTGCTTGGAATGCCAAAGCCACTCTGGGGTGGTGCTGGGGAGGGGCCGCCCTGCCACCCCGGCCTGGGCTGCCCGGCCTTTGCCAGCCACACACAGGGTCACCTGACATCCACGGCACCTTCAGACCAGAAGGGGACCACCTCGCCCCCGAGGAGGCGCGGAGACAGGACTGCCACCCATGGCACGGGGACGCAGGACCGGGCCCTGCTGGCTGGCTTCCTGCCGGAGCCCCCTGGGGCCAGAAACCCAGGGAGCCCCCCCTCCGGGGGCAGGTCTGGCGGCCATGAGCACCACCGGTGTTTGTCAGGCTTCGCAGGCAGCCGGGCACCCGGCTTTCGCGGGCACCTCTCTCCTGGGGGAGCCGGCACGGAGGGGGCAGCCCCGGGCCGCGGGGCAGGAGGAAGTGAGGGCAGCTCCCCGGGGCGCCGCTGCCTCTGCTGGGACCCAACTCTGTGCTCAGAAACGCCAGGCCTCGGGGGCGGCTCGGCTGACAGATCATCAGGGAGGCAAGGGCTGAGTGTTGAGGGGTCCACACCGTAGCAGAGCCCCCAAACCCAGCACCGCGTCTCCCACCAGCCCCGCCAGCCACCCACGACGCCGAACCCAATTTCCGGCCACATCTCCGCACGTAACATCTCACCTTCCAGCTGGAGCAGGGCTCAGCCACACTTCGTAAACGGAGCCGGGCCTCCGGGCCTCGGCCCCTCCCCTCCCCCCGGCCCCCAGAGTGGGTTTCCTTTGTTAATCCTCAGCCCAGGACATTTTCCCACTGATTTTTAGGGAGAGGGAGGGAGGGAGGGGGCGGGAAAGGCCGGGAAGCAAACCTGCCACCCAGGCCTGTGCCCTTGACCCGGAAATGAACCTGGGACCCTTCGGTCCGCAGGCCGAGGCGCTACCCACTGAGCCGAGCCGGCGAGGGCCACGGTGGCTTTTCTGACTCGGTCCCTCCGGGAGCCCTGCTGTCCCCGCAGGACTGTGGCCCAGTCCCCCGACCCTGCCCCTGGGCCCGTCCTCACTGCGCCTTCATCCTGGGCGACCCACTCGGGCCATTCCCATCAGCACACACCCAGGGGGAGGCCTGCAGCCCCTCCCAGGCCGGGCCTCCCTGGGGCTCCCCTGCCCCCCCAGA